GAGGTTGGGGTGGCTGCGCAGGTGGGAGGAGAGAGAGTTGTGGGTGTGATCAAAGAGAAGTTCAAAAGAGAAGATTAAAGAAAGGTCGGTAGCATTTGGCACCTGGAGCAATGTTGTAAAAAGTCAATGATTTGACCCACTTGTGCAACAAACAAATGCCTGAAACCCTGAGAAAGTTGCGCTGTGTCAGCCCCGCATCATGCCAGGGGGTGACGAAAGCGATACGCTCAGCAGGTCTTCAAGTCAAGACCTTCAAAGCTCAGACCCAAAAAGAAAAAGCTCGGTAGGTCTACGTGGAAGTATAAACTCTAGCTGGATAAGCGCGGGCCCACCTTCAATATGGAACTCCTCTCTCATTGGTGCAGAGCCACAAGCGTGTGAGAACGGTGTGCACGGATGGCAGCCAACTGGAATTCTGGGGTGTCCCGCCCTGTCACTCTCCCCGCCTATATTAAAACCCAACCTCTCGGCCTCCCCTTGTTCTCGATGTCCCTTCTACAAACTTCGCACTGATCCTCAGTTTTTTTGTTTTCAAAGAGAATATAACCCGAAGAAAGAACAATTGGATAAAAATGCCCTCGCACGCCAATCGCATGCAGCAGGAGCAGGAGCACTGCATCATGGTCTCCGCCCTCAAGCATGTAATCTCCGGCGGCATCAATGCGGGTGGTAGTGGACCCACTTCGCAGCAGCAGCAGCTATTGGGAGCCGTCCATTCTGCCACGTCGTCAGTCCCCTCGACGAGGGACGGGACCCAATCAGCAACGGACCAACTACACATGCTGTCGTTTTCGGCAGAGGGCGATACGTGTCGGGTGTGCGGGATCGAGGGGTGTCTTGGGTGCAACTATTTCCCGTCAACAACATTGCCAGACAGAAACAAGCAACTGAATTTGGGGAGCGGGGCGAATGCGGGGACGAGGAAGGGGAAGAACAAGTACAGGGGAGTGAGGCAGAGGCCGTGGGGGAAGTGGGCAGCGGAGATTCGGGACCCGCGGCGGGCGGCGAGGGTTTGGCTGGGGACGTTCGAGACGGCGGAGGAAGCAGCCAGGGCTTACGACAAAGCTGCCATTGAGTTCCGTGGGGACAAAGCCAAGCTCAATTTCTCATTAACCTCCTCCGATCAGCACAACAATATCACTAATAGCAACATCACTTCTAGTAGCAGAACTAGGACTAGCCCACAATTAATTAGGAGCATGGAAGAGGCTGATGCTGATCAGGACAAAGTCAATCCAATTACTGTGAAACAATCAGAGAAACTCGAAATATATGAGAGCAGTGCCCCGCAGGAAGAGAATGACCAGTTTCTCTGGGACATGTCTCAAGATGGAGATGATGACGATGACTTGAAAGCATGGATGTCAGCCAACTAAAATACCTCGTGCTCTGCTTTGATGAAGCCAAGTTATGTTAGGGGGTTTTCATTAGAGACTCATTTCAAATTAGGATTTAATTAGTTCAAAAATAAGAAAATTTATCGTACGCGATTACCTCGTACTAATAACACGTCGATGAGTGGCCTTGTCGTTCTCGTTTGTTTTCTTCTGTTGGAAATGAAATTAAAAGATAATAAGGACATTCTATATCTTGTCTGTTGACGTGGACCACTTTAGTGGACACGTGTCGGTTTGGGTACGAACGTTAGCAAAACCGATCCCGTATTATTACTAAATCACGCTCCCAATTGTTTCAAATTTCTTCCAACTACAAAATACATTTCATTTAAAAATAAATACAAATACAGAACAGGGTGAAGAAAGAAAGAAAGAAAGAAGAAATCCCTCCCTCGAAGGCCACATTTTATCATTTGCTAAAGTTGAAAAAAGAATGCTACCTGGACACAACATTTTAGTACATCAAATCCCCAATAAATTGACAGTTCGGTTTGCAGACCAACAAAGACTTCAAACCCACAAACCCCCATGGATGATGCACCACAACTGAAAACAATATCATAGTTGACTTGTCAATACAACTATTACGGCTCCGAGCTAATCGTCATTTTTCTTCTAATCGAGCAACCACCAGGCAGGCCCAAAATTTCTGCAACCTTCATTGGGAAAACCAGCATACCTATCTATTGATATATCTCAAAAAAATCTCAATCTCAATACTAGACACGCAACTACCGGTGCAATGGACGCTGCGAAAAAACAAAAGCAACCAAAACTCTTTATTCCTGAACATCTCCTTCAACCTGCAGGCTCTCTTTTTTTTTCCTTCTCAAATCCAAGCAGCTCATTTTGTAGCTCCTCACAGCGCTGTTGAACTCCCACTTGAGGTCTGTTTAGCCACGTATACTTGCTTCATCTTAGAAGGTGGAAAGCCCTTTTCTGCACCCACAGACTGATTCCTTCCATGGAACCCCATTCTTCGATGCGGCCAGTCACCCCCTGAACTATTTTTCTGAGAACCCCCACCCCTCTGATAATAAGATGAATGGCCATACTGCTGGTTAGAGGTGTTATTCTTGTGCATAGATGACTGAGACTTGGCATTAGAACTCGCGCTATGTCCACTAACACTGGTACTGAGCTTCTGATCAACATCAATCTTGGCAGTATCTACGGCGGTACTTACAGATGAGCTCTTAGTGACAGCACTCTGTGTTGAAGCCCCAGTGCTGGAGGAGCTTGCAGGGTCTACTAATCCCAGTTCATCTGGGAATCGGGTGACAGTAGCATCAGTTGCTACAGGAAAATTACGACTGTTATCAAAGGCTGTAGAAGTCCGGGAGTCAGGGAACCTGTTGGCTGGCAATGATTGGTCAGCAGGACCATGGCTAAATTTAGAAGGAAGTATACCATCTGCCTGTTGCTGCAATGGCATTGATACAGGAACAGACTGAAGAGGTGATGCAGGAACATGTGGCCATCGGGACATGTCAGGAGAGGACTGGGCAAAACAATATTACCCCATCGTTAGTTATAGTTATGCCAGAAAGTATGGTGAATGTTCACCAACCAAATAGAAACAAATTAAAAATTAACAATTCTATCATCTTCGTGCACCCATTTCAAATTCCTGTATCTATGACAAATTCGAAAAGGCATCATATCCACACCTCAAAGCATCCCCCTTCCCACTCTTTTCAGAGAGAACTCTTCCCAAAATCCACTATGTTTCAAAACCTAAAAACCCAGGGATGGGGGGATATTTTAGGTCAATAGATTGAATTTTTACCTGGAAGGGAGAAACATCGAACATGGCCAAAGGTGAAGCCATAGGAAGCAGTGGTGACCCAGGGGCCAAATGCTGGATCGGAGCAGGCATGTTGCTAGGGTTGCGCTGTGCAGAAACCATATTTATATTGTTCATCTCCCCCTCACCAACAGCCATGGCGGAAGATGCAGGGTTGTGCTTCCAATCTGGCTGCTTTCCTGATGGGATATAGGCAGTACCCATGAAACTTAAGCCAACTTGTCCAAATTGTCCAACAGGTGCAAAGTGGTTATAGACAACCATGTGTGGTGGACCTTGAACACCTGGTATGCCTCCAGCTGGACTGATAAAAGGACCAGTAAAACCTGCAGGAGGACCGTAGAATGAATCTACCCCAGAATGACACTGCTGCCAGGTCCCAATTGGCGCTGAAGCTGGTGCACTACTCTTTTGGGATTGTGGCTGGGTAGTAGATGCAGATTCATCATGTGGTCCAAATGCAAAAACGGGACCCCCCAACATGGGATTCATTTCATAAAAGGGAAAATGGGAAGGCGGACCACCAGGAAAATGCGGAAGCATTTGGCTTGAAGAATTCTGAGGACTTGGTAACGGTGGCCATAGCGAAATTGGTGGTGTCTCAACAGACAGATCTGCTGGAAGGGAAACACTGAGAGACTCTTCGGCCCGTGATTGACTGGCTAATTGCCGATCACCTGCTCCACCAACCAAAGATTTTAATATGATAATAATCATTAAAGGGAAAAGAAAAAAAAAGAGGACTCATTACTAAACAGAAAATCTATCACACCTGCTGTCCTCCCATCAATATCAGCACCTTCAACACTCTTGGGAAGGGCAGCCACTATGAAATTGGTTATAAGGAAATTATTCTGACCTGGTAATGGTGGCCTTAATGAATGGGTCTCAACAGATAGATCTGCTGGAAGGGAAACACTGAGAGACTGTTTGGCCCTTGATTGACTGGCTAATTGCTGATCACCGGCTTTATCTACCAGAGATTTAAAATCATTCTAATAAGACAACAACCATTAAAAGGAGAAAAGCAAGGTTCATTTCTAAACCAGAAAAATTATTCACACCTTCTGCTACCCCATCAATATCGGCACCTCCAAAACTTTTGGTATCTGGAACTGAGACAGAGCAAGCACCCAAACCATTCCCAACAATTTCGTCACTGCTAATGGCTGCAACAGCAACAGCTGAAGCCGCTGCTTCAGCTTCAGCTTCACAATCTTCCAAATGAACACATGATTCAGTGGTGTGTTTCTCTTTTTCAAAGAGAAGATTCTCACTTGCAGAAAGATTGTGGGAGAGTTGCATGTCTGACCGAGATGGTCCTGGTGGGCCAATTCCATGTGATACAGCACGGCTGCTAGGAGGGAGTATTGTTGGAGACGTAACGGCACCTGAATATAGGGGGATAAAATCATCCGGAAAAAAAAAAAAAAAAAAAAAAGGAAATTGCGACATTTAGCAAGCTATTGAATTTTCTTAACATGCTCACCAAATTGGATTTTCTCGCCAGCAAGAAGGGAATTGATTGGATTTGCAGCAGAAGAGAATGGCTTCTCCTTTGTCATGATGGATGACGTTGGCATGCTGGACTCACAAACTGAGCTATTAATTTCTCCAACAGAACCATGAGAACCAAATTGCCCAGGCTTCATAGCCTCATCAAGTTGGGTCTGCGTCAAGGCCATAACCTGGCAGTGTAGTCAATCAGTTGCAGACTCTTATACAGAAAAACAGATATCTAGGAAATACAGAAGAGGATGCAAGCATGCTAACTGAAAGGAAACTGTCTATATAGAATGAAATACATCAAGGTACAATGATCTATGTTTTTCCAGTCCAAGGAGCTACCTTGTGTCAATGGTCTCAAACTTCTACCAGTGCAACAAACACACAACCCCACCCCCACCACCCCCC